AGGATCAAAATCCCTGCTTCGCTCAGGCAGCTAATGTGTTTTCTGATGCTAGCCTTGGTGTCCCTAGAGATGAGGTATTGCTTCACTCTTACAGGTGCCTTGGAGCTCAGGAGCTGATCGATGACTGGCTTCCAATGTGAGGCCAATCTGGGGACATTAGTTTCTTCCCATACTCCCAAGAATATCTGCATTAGTTCTTTGAGGAAGGGACTACCTGTTTCTGTTCCCTGCTCATCAGAATGGTTTTCTACCATTCTGTATTCATCTGATGGGGAGCAGGTTACTATGATGGCTTGGGTGCTGGTTTTTCAAGTCCAGAGTAGCTTCAGTTTCGCTAAAAGTAATGGTAGGTCCTAGTTTTCTCAAAAAGTCCCTGTCAATCAGGCAGTAAGGGCAATCTGGCATAACCAGAAAAGAATGAGCTACAGTACCTTGTTGGAGGTCTACCTTGTGTGTGGTGGTGCAGGAGTAGGTTCCAGCTCCAGGGGCCTCTTGGATGGTGGTTCTCTTTTTGGCAAGTGGGCCCATGGGTTGGGTTAACACTGAATTGGTCATGCCAGTGTTCACCAGGAACTGGAGTGTCTTGCTGCTGAATTTTCCAACAACCAAAGGCTCCCAGGGGCCACATGAAAATGGACACCTGGTCTCACCCGTCTGCTTTTACCAAGGTGAGGACCTTTCCCCCTTTTTCTCTCTTTTCCTGAGGGCATTCATTTTTCCAGTGTCCTTTCTCCTTACAATGTGCACATTGGTACTTCTCTAGTCTGTTTTGGGGCTGACTTGACCACTGAGGGAGTCTTTGACTTCTATTTTCTTCTTTCTTTAGGGCAGCCACAATTACCTGAGCCAATCTTTTATTCTTCTTTTCATCTGGGTCTCTATTAAAAGTCTTCTGAGCTATTTCCACTGTGACCTGTCCATCCATTCAAATCCTTTTAATTTTTGTATGAATATGAATATCTGAGGCCAACTGGGTAATAAAGGCAATATTTATAGCCCACTGTTCTCTGGAGCATCAGGATCAATGGGAGTAAACTGATAAGCATTTCAAAGATGCTCCAGGAATCTGGCAGGGGATTCCTGGCTTCCCTGGATAACCTCAGGTACCTTGGAGAGATACCTTCCTAACCACCTCTCTCATTCAGGTCAGCAAGGCCTGGCAACAGGTATCTAATGCCCCTTTACTGTAATCTGTGATAGGGTCCCAGTCTGGAAGGGTTGAGGGCAGGATTTGATTCTTGCCTCTGCATCCCACCCTAGGGGCCCAGGGCCTGCTAATGGCCTTGCAAGCCTCAGTGAGTATTTCATCTCTCCTCTGCTGTAAGGAGAATGCCTAGAAGCTGTCTGTAATTGGCCCAGGTGGGCTGGTGAGTAAAGAAAACTCTCTCTAGCAAGCTGATAAGGGCCTGGGGCTTCTCTGAGAATGGAGGATTCTGAGCTTCCTAGTTGTACAGATCACTATTAGAAAAGGGGACATAAACCATGAAGGGAGGTCCAGTCTCTCTTGGGTAGGAGATCCACTTCACGGGGGAGTTCCCTAAGAAGGAACACAGCAGAAGGGGGCACTTGACTCAACTGGGGGTAGGATGTAGTCTATCCCACTTCGAGTATGAGAGGGAGACAGATGTAGAAGGATAGGGTATAGCCTAGGGGCAGGGAGAGCCGGAGGGTACTTGGACATGATGGGGTCCTGATCTGGTTGGAGATGGGGGTTATAAGGTGGAGGGATGTCTTCCTCCTTCCCAGGAGCTAAAAATGGAGATCTAGATTTCTTGACCAGGGGTCTACCCACTAATACTGAGGAGCTCTGTTTAAGAGAGCAACATTTTAGCCAGGGAGGGGGCTGCTGTAAAAGAGAGCCAGCAGTTGATGTAAGGAAACTGGTCAGTTTGACCAGGGCTCCCTGTTACCACCCGCCAGACTCTCCAGGCAGCTTGGGGATCGAATCTGGCCATTCAACCTGAAAGTGGGCCACTCTAATTCACAGAAAGCACAGAGCTTCCCAGTTGATAGCTTG